GCCAAGTCGGCTTGGTCGACAGAAGGGTATAAGAGGGTTAGATAGCAAAATAGAACTGAAATATCATCCCTAACACTCTTTCCGCTTAAAGAGTAAAGGAAGGAACGAGATAAAAGTAGAAAGCAGGTGTAACGAATACCATAATATGCCTAAATCGAGGCTTGGCACTAAAAAAAGGTAAGCTACACTTATTGTGGTTACGCCGTCTCGGTAAAAAGGTCAGCTACACTTATTGTGGTTACGCCGTCTCGGCATGTATTTGTAATGAGAGAATCCTTTAAAATGCAGAAGAGAGTTTAAAATAAGCACTCAATTCGACGTCCTTCCTGACTGAGAGTTCATTCATTTTGCATTAAAACAAATCCATGTAGGCAGTTAGAGAATAATGATGGCAGAAAGCGAAGATAAGCCGAAAAGTGAAGCATTTTGTACTTGTCTGGTATTACTGTTCTTTTGATCAATAAAAGTCAGACCAGGCCTCAGCATCATTTTCAATGCTCAGCTCTATCATTTCATTTCCCTCTAAACAAGCTGATGAAAAACAATTTATTCAACAGATCTAGTTTCTCAAAGGATCCCAAAACCGGAATATTTTTTTGATGATTTAGCAAAAGTTATAGTTTTATGCTCACACAAAGAATGACGTGAACTATGCATAAGCTGGTAAGACTCTTGGTCATTATACCTCTCATCTTCTGTCCTTCTTTCGAAGCCCACTTGTACAAAGCGCTGTGCTTCTGACTGTATAGAAGTTTGCCACTGTCAGATACGTGTGACCTTTGTACTCAAATGATGTCACATCGAACGTTCCATAAGTGGAAATCCCTTGGTACTTGATGAACTGTGCTCCAGGGGCCTGGTACACAAGTGACTCAGTGTTAAGTTTCACGCTGCTGTCGTAGTAATTGGCCACAACTAAGTAAGTATGACCGGCTGAATTACGAAAGGATCCCAAGCGAGGGCTCCACGAGAAGGGGTGGATTGGAATATAACGAACATGGTACCATCCTATTTGTAGATAAACGAATCAGTATTCTAAGAACTTCATGAGTTGTGGCAGGCAAAAGCGATGAAGGTGTGTCCATTGATGTTAACAGACTTCACGTCATATGCCCCGTGAGATTGAAGAGATTGCAGTTTGACGAAATGACAATTTGAAGACACCGAACTTAACTTCTGCCTTACATCCCATGGCACCGTCAGTTGCTATCTCCGGGGACTTGATGAACTTGACGTCATTTCATTTGTAGATGACTCATTTTGTTGAGTAGGTACTTCCATCATGATGGCCTGCTACGCGAGATATTCTTCTTCGTTTATCACGAAGAACTTGAGGTGTGCAGCTCCTTCTTTTGGTAATTTCTGGAACACCACAAACTGCTGTCCATTGATAATTGTTTATCACTGTACTGCAGTCAGCATATCAAAATACAAATATTTTTTACAAAGTCATAAAGAAATCTGAAGATACAGTTTTGAGCTAGCTTAATTTTTTGCTTCTGTAGAGGGGCCCAAAATCGTATGTACATATTTTTTACTTAAACTTAGCAGAAAGGTGAATATTGAGATACAGATTGCAATTCAGTGATAGAGTGTAGATGTCGAAGAAACCCGTTCTTTGGTTACAAGCAGAAAAAGCTCAAACTAGTGAGGTTTCTGGAGATTTCAGAGTTGCTTTGGGAAATCTCCCGTACCGGACGTAGCTTACCCCTCTTTCTCCTTCCTCACCCGATTGTCATGCAAAGGCATTGTTACTATGTGCTTCTGTAACATTACTCTAAGGAAATAATTGTCAGTGTCTCAGAGACTTTATCGAGGAAGGATCATTGTGTACCATGGGCAATAAGACCTTGTATCTCGTATTAGAGTGTAATCTGACTTGTACATGTTCATTTCTGCTGATGGACAGAATTACCGACCTTTATAACATAACTTAAATACGACGTGCGCTCTGATTGGTCAAAGATCCATCGTTAATTGTGCCAGTAAACCCATAGAAACCTGAAACTTCCTTTCCTGAAAATGATGCCACACAGGTCGAATTCCCAGCTGTTGATTTGATGAAGTACTTTGCTTCGGAGGAAATGAAAAGGAACGGGCGCGGAAAACGTTATTTGATACATACTGTACTATCTTTCGTGTCTCTGATTCGACGAACGATATATTTTGACAGTCGTTCATTTCCAATCTTCGAATTGCGGTGTCGATTCGTTAGAAAAAAATTTCAGTATGTATGAAATAAACAAAACATACCATGGAAATTACTTGAACGATTTTTATTCACGAGTTGCGATGCATCAAAAACTCACTCGTTCGCTCCGCTCACTCGTTGGTTCTTTTGATGCATTACAACTCATGAATATAATCGTTCGTACGCACGATGGAATAATCTATATTGTTATATACCTAGACTTTCACTCAACAAAATGAGTACTGTGATTGGTTGATTCTTGGTCACGTGCCCCTGATCATATTCAAATGTATCTCGACCGGGATACAATAGCGTAGTTGTTGCCCGGGCGCCGAATACAACAGCATGTTTTTGCTATATGATTGTTTAAGGGAAAGTCCAAAACAAAGCACTTAATGTATGGTTCCTCGGAAAACTAGTTAGTTTTGTTTTCCCTCGAGTCCTGATGTTTCCCGTGACTTAGCCTCGAGAAACATCAGGACTCTCGGGAAAACAAAACTAACTGTTTCTCTAGGGAACCTACATTAAGTGTATATTTTCCAAATTTCTATAAAAACGCAAAGTAACTAACTTGTCGAGCCGTTTCAAGCCTATCAGTATTTCTTGCTGTACGGTAACAGTGAAAGAACTTAAGGACTCTCGAATAAATTTACCCAAACTAATTTCCGAGAAGGAATAGTTGCCACGTTTAACTTCAATAAAATGACAAACAGGATCTCATTAAGAAGGTTATTGATAATTTCATTTACCTGGCAACGAAAACCACTTAAAAAGTTTGTAAATCACTTGCCTCCAGCTAGTGGTATTCAACCTTTTCTTGTGTTCTCCATAAAAATTGTTAAAGTTGATACAATATTCTGTATGCACTTGGGACGACGATCTTGAATTAAAAAGGGTGTTTTACTATGTGCACAAAACCAGTGATTATATATTCTTTCCAACTTTTCAACATCCTCTTTTCCTGGAAGGAATCATTTAAAACTCTGATATTATTATTGTGTCATGCCTGGGTATGTCAAAGACTACAAGACAATGATTCCAAAAGAAAACAAACCAGTACTCGTTATTAGATGACAGTACTCGACACAGGGACCGTTAGACCTTTAAGTGATGATTTTCTACCTGTTGAATAATTATCCATCTTAACTAATGTCGCAGTTTTTGTCTGGTTCTAAATTCACTGAGTGATAGAACTTACTTTGGAACCAGAACTATCATAACACTTTTCATTGAAAGTGTCAAAATCAGATAAATCTCCATTACGGGAAAAATAAGAAGCAAGGGAACTCTTACAGTTCGGAATGATGAAATGCTCCCCTTTGCAATTTTATCACGATTTAATTATTCCAACCAAATGATTGGTAACAGGTAAAGTATTATTCAGATCAAAGCCAGAGAAATATTAACCCTTAAAATCAGTTTTTTTTTTTGCCCCTAAAGAAAAAAGATTATCACACACTTAGGTTAGATCTTTTTAAAATGAACTCTACCAACCTTGACGCCAGCATTTCCATCCACGCCATGCATATCTGGTTCACCTTTCTCTTCCTGGATAATCATGATTTTTTATGAAATGAATTGAAGTAACTTCTCAGTAACCATGACAACAATTTCATGGAAGTACTTATGAGTGCACGACTAGTATGAAGAGGTACGTCATTAGAAGCTCTACCCATATGTATTCCTAGAATATGGATTCAGTGTCATTTCTTCAATGATCAGAACGTCACCTTTTTGGTTTAAAAAAATAATATCTGCTCCAACTGTCCCATCGCGTCCATTTCATCCTATATTGAAAACATTGGAGATCAGTTCAAAATGTGAAAATGCAGAAAAACACCAACAGCAACAAGTGATTTTTTAATTTCAATTTTGTTAATATTTCACATTTCACATATGCCTTCGTTTCCAAAAAGATTTCATTATTCAACAAAAGTTTCAGTTATTCACACCCAGTAATTTGATATTGTCGCTGTTCCATGGCTCTGTTGAGTTTTTTTCGTGACAAACGAGAAGTGGACATTTTCAGTTCAAGTTTGTTTGTTATCAAATTTAGGGGTTATTTAGAAAATCACACGCTAGAAAAAACGCGAAATTCTCATGCTTTCACTCAAATTTCGATGCGAATACAATCTCTTTAAACCAGGTTATTAATTTGATTACCTGGCTAGTAGATTTGTTCTGTGATTTTGCGAAGGAACTCAAGGCAAGAGCTAACACAAAGAATAAACGAAACATTCCCACTCTGCGCTCTCCGATATGAAATGGCAGACGAATAAGTCAACATAAAGAGAGGGACTTTCCTGCTCTGTTTATTTTGCCTCATAACTGGAAAATTCAGGATGTTCAAAAGCTTTTGTCATCACTGACGTTTGCAATGCTTAATAAGAATTTGTAGTTTATGGATTGTAATATGCTAACTGAACGACTGAATTAACTTCTTGTATCTGCTTAAAACATCGTTATATTGTACAGTAATCTGATGAATAGGACTTTGACCCCTATCAGTGAAGGTGATTTGTTTGGTCTTCAGTAAATTTTTAATTACTGTAGTCGAAAAAAGTAATATTTTGATCTGTGAAAGGAAAGTGTCCGTAGAGAGAATTTTCCTTGCTTTACATTATTTTGCGAAATTTTCACAAATGGGATAGTTGATATAAAAAGAAAGTTGTCGTTTGCTAATATTGAATATCCTGAGTTGACTGAGAAAGACAGGAATTTTTGGAAAACTGAAAAGGTGTTACTTGAAATTGTGGTTGCTTAATTAGTAAATGTACCGAGTAAGCAGAGGGCGGACGCAGCGCACACTTCGCAAGCGCTTTGGATGCAATCGAGGCTCAGCTCCAGAACGAGGTATACCGAGTTACATGTGTTCGCGGAAGGTGTGAGCTGAAAATCCTCCTCAATGCAGGTAGGGGAGTGTTGGATTGATACAGAAATCGACGTAGTGTTGTACAAAACATTTAAACTTAATAGTGTGGGCTCTTCCCATGAGTGAGGCCAGGCTCATCGAGATATGTTAAATCTGTGGGCAGCTCGCGATTCAAAAGCATTATTGATTAGTCTTGATTTATACGAACGCACGTAACGGATCACTCAAGGTTTCTTGTAAACCAGACGTAACCTTGAGAGGCCTTGTGCATTGAAGTAGCGGTTTCAAATTGTGTCAATAAACCAAGATACTCCATATACTGGCGATACTGTTAAGGAGATCAACACTGAACGCATCGATAGCTGATATACATCTGGCATATGTGTGTTAAGGCTGTCATCTCCTCGAGCTAAACCACACATGCTGCACAAACTAGTCTTTTTTTCAACCAACCAACAAAGATACTGGAAGAAACACATGAATAAATATACATGAACAAAGTGCACACAAAGGGCGAACAGAGACCGAGAGTCAATTTCGAAGCTTGCTTGGCAACTTATTTCAGTATTAAGATGTCATTTCCAATTTTCAGCAAATGAAATGCTTTAAAAGTAAGACAGTAATGCCCTGTTTTATTGGCATCTTTTTTGTCTGCAAAACTATTGAGGAATCCTGATCGCAGTGAAAACAAACATAAGCTTGCTTGGCAACTCATTTCAGTATCAAGATGTCAATTTTCAATTTCCAATTTTCAGCAAATGAAATGCTTTAAAAGTAAGACAGTAATGCCCTGTTTTATTGGCCACCTTTTTTGTCTGTAAAACAATTGGGGAATCCTGATTGCAGTGAAAACAAACATAATTCTTGACCCTGAGCCCTATGTCTGTGTTCTAGTACTTTAAACCTGATAATTCTTGTATCTCTGTAGAAGCGCATCAAGTTACCAGTGACTGCACTGAATGAGCACATCATCTGCAAATTATGCAATGGATATCTTATTGATGCAGCAACTATCACAGAATGTTTGCACACTTGTAAGTAGATTGTACTAGTCTGATATATATATATATATATATATATATATATATATATAAATATTATGAGAGATATATATATAAGAATATGACTGTATACCTTTATGTAAGATTACCAATGTATAACTATTAATAATATTAATTTTGTAATCTTAGCGAGGTCCAAAGATATCAAAATTAACTCCTTTTCTAGCTTCCACTGCAGAAATTTCCTCATAACTTGATTTGGAGAATTTATTTATATTTAGATGCAAATTATTCTTCTCAAGTTTCTCTATCCTCATCAGATTTTTCTTAATATGATGTATTGATATTGTTAGGAGAAGTTAGTAAGTAATTTCTCCAAGGAGTTGAAAGGTGAATTTACCATCAACATTTGGCAAAGCTTTTTTTAAAGCCACAGCGTACTGTGGCTTTACGCTATATTGTGTTTTTAAAAACTTGTGAGGATGAGAAATTATTTTCATTACTTTTACATGATCTTGGTGCTAAAGGTTCAATATAAGCAGGATTTGGGAGTCTTGATGCATAAGCAGTGGAAGCATATCAGTAAAGTAAAGGATTGTTCACTTAAGTTTAAAATCCTGGCAACCAAATTTGCCAGCTTTGGCTTCTATGCCCTGAAAAAATTGGACTTCTCTCTTCAATGAAAGTTTTTTTTTTTCCCATAAAATTTAGTTTGCAAGAGCTGCTTGGTAAGACATATTGAACTTGTGAATCGATGTCCAACATGTAACAATCAAATTCATGAATCACAGCCACTCTACAACATCAGGTACAACCAGATAATCTTTGATGTGCTGATATAGTTAAATTTAAAACAAAATGAGAAAAAGCATTTTATATGAAAGTCATATAAAGGATTAACAGATTATTAACTCACTCAGTAGTGTCACTTTGAAAAAAAGATTTTTTTTTTCTTAAATTGTCAGAGTATGTTTAGTGTACTTCAGAATCCATACAGTATATGTGTGTGATATCATAAGTATGTTGTGTGTGATGTGGTCATCTTCTATGACCTGATATACAACACATGTAAAACCTACATTAGTCTTTCATGTATACCAAACAAGGATTATAAAGAGAAAAGGAAAGCTGACCTCTTAAACCTTTTAGTTGTTCAGGGAGCTGGTTTCCTGTATCCATTTAATTTGAATTGTTGTAAATATTTTAAAATATTTTATGGATGCAACAAAGTGTGTTTTTGTTGTCAGTTATTAAAGCTATTGACTATTTACTTGAGGATTTTGATTCACCCAACATTTCCTTCATCTGTAAAGTTTTTATGTTTAGCTGTTAGTTATAATTTGGGTGTTGATAAAATTAAGCCAAGGGATAATAAATATTTTTCTCCAATGATAGGCTTGACAGAACCATGCAAGACATTGTTTACAAACTTCTTCCAAAAGTAGAGAAGGGTGCGTATACAAAATTGCACAATTAGATGTAACTATTGTAATATTCTATGGATTTTTTAATATCCTCTAAGTTGTTGAGTGCAATTTTTGTTACAGAGGAAAAACGCAGAGAGCGAAAGTTTTACAAAGACAGAGGAATGCCTTATCCAGACCCTAAAGGTAAAGAATTGTGCTTTTAATCAAACGAATAGTGATACATGTACATGCACATAAACTTTTTAATGCTCATGTTCCATCATTTGTTGTCTCAGATATTTTTTTTGCAACATTAAGTGCTCTTTACCTGTAACAAAATCTTTTAAGAGAATCTCTAGTGACTTCGTATACCTGGTGATTATTTAAGAAAGAGGTCAGCCTGGAAACAGTAATGAGGTGGGCTCAAACATGAAGTAACATGTATAGGAGATTGTCTCTCTTGTTATTGTGTTTTTTCTAGTTCTAGGTAGCCAAACACCTACAAGTGCAGGCTCAAGGCCATTAAAAGCAACAAAGAAATATAAGGGAGCAGCATCTAAAACAAGTAAAACTACAAAAGTCAAAAGTTATCACAGAACAGATGAGCAAATCTCCCTTCAACTTGAGACATACCGGTCAGTTGAATTGAAGGCAGTTAATTTCTTTGATAAAAGAAAAAATATTTCATTCTTTTGTTTACAGAAGAGGCTTGACAAAGGGAAGGGGAAAGATGAAAAGGTTCTGTGAATGCTCTGCCAAGCCTGTCCCTATCTTCTCAAACCTATCTCCACCACTAAACCAAAACTAAACAATTTTAATAGTGATTCTACACTAGTAATTACTGAGAGTTACAAGAAAGTGGAGTGCTGCCAAGTGGTTAATTTGGAATGAGGATAGTGGGCTGAGTTAAATACTTAAAGGTGTAGTTGAGGGAGTCTGAGAAGTGAACATCTTTTTGCTGTATTGCTAACATCATTTACATTACTGACAGTCTTCAAAAATTGTATTCTTACCTGAAATTATAATTTTAAAGTGCCGCTAACCCCCCAAATTATTTTTCAATAAAATAAATTTCCTTGTTTCTGTAGCTCACAGTATATTGACGTAGGATATCAGAATTCTGAACACTGTGTCAAACAGACAGGTCATGACGAGGAAGAATATTTACTGTCAACCAAGGGATTTTTGTTGGATATTGAAAACACCAAAGCAATGATTACTGGTTGGCTGACATAGAATTAATTATGTTGATATCATTACTTAGGAGAGTTAGCTTTTATTTGAATGCTAATATGACATGTAACTTGTGTTAGGGATGGAAGCATGTGTAGCTCAACAGAAATAGAGGTGAGAATACTTTGAATGATTGATTCATTATATCTACAGCACAAATGCATAACGTTATTGCTCTCCTTTCCTTTTCTATGCCTAGCTTCCTCTTCTTAGTTTGAATCTGAAAATGAATATTTATAGAGTATACAGTTGTATTTACTTTTTCTACTTGTCTATCATGTTTGATAATTGCTGGTACTCGTACTCTCTACTTTTTAGCCTCTACCAAAGAAATTTATCAGGTTGTCAACACACGTCACCATTGGATTGCTTCAGAAGTTCTTGGCTTGGAAACTACACTTGGACTCTGAAAACATGGTGAGAAGAGTTCTGTATTAAGACATCAGAATTTTA